AGGCCATGGATACTGACAGATGTCAGGAGCCAAAGCAGCCAGAAAACTAAGGAGAATGAGAACCCAGTGGGAAGAGGAGTCCCGGGACAGAGTCCAGGGAGCTGAGGGTCCTTGCAGGGCTGTGACCTGCATCCAGGCTTGACTCCCCAGGCCTGACCCTGCAGCCCAGAGTGGTGCAGCAGCTGGTGAACAGAATAGATGAAAGGAAAAAATGGGATGGAAGGCACTCTGTCTGTGACACTGAGGCACAGCTGGGTCTGTGGGCAGAGCATCCTTGAGGTCATCTGCACATTCTGACTGGGAAAAGGTGGTCAACGGTCTTGAAAGGAGTGCTTATAGAATGTGATCCTGCCATGAAGCAGTTTCTGCTGTATTTGGATGAGTCCAATGCCCTGGGGAAGAAGTTCATCATTCAAGACATTGATGAAACTCATGTCTTTGTAATAGCAGAGTTGGTTAATGTCCTCCAGGAGCGAGTGGGTGAATTAATGGACCAAAATGCTTTTTCTCTTACCCAGAAGTGAAAATACTAGATATTGACCACTTGGGAATTACAAGCAGCAAATGTGAAAGACTTACTTGCTTAGGAGCCTGCTGTGGGAAAGACCGAGGGATCATTTGCCAGAAAAAAGCGCCCTGAACTGATTTTTTTGTACCCTATAATTAAAAAAACAAAACAAAAAAATCTTTAACAGTTGGCTGTAATTTGACTTATTATCCTTTATTAAAATATAAATGTTAAAAAAATGGGATGAAAAAAAATGGGGGAGAATGCTGAGAAGAGCATCAAGCTGCCATAGAAAATATATTTAAGAAATGTTGAATTAGTTTATCTACCCCATGTTCCAATAAAGAGTTTGCAATGGCCAAGATTTGTATGTTAATAGGCATTAGACTGTGCAATCTGAAAGGGAGTGTGGACGTGCAGGTACAAGAGCTGTTGTACAATAACGTAAGGCCAAATTTCCGTATATAAAAGAGTGGGAGCATAGCATGCCCAAGTTATTAGAGGGGCTCTGACTGCCAATCATAGCTTGGAGTAGGGCTCACAGCTGCAAGATTGACCATGGGTTGGAATTAGAGACCCCCAATCCCACTTACCCTAAATGAAGAAAATTGCCTTGTTTCAGAGCAGGCCCTGGAGTTTAAGAAAAAGTCCTGGGGTTAAAGACTTTTTCATGATTTGGCCGGACACCTTGTTATTTAGTTTGAAGTGGCCCTAAGGATCTGACTCTTTGGAAGGTGCGGGTAGATTAAAAATATATTATTATAATAGCTAGACATCCACTATGGGCCAGGCAGTTTCCGGAGTGCTTTGAGTATGCCAACTCACTGAATCCTCATAGCCACCCTGTGAGAGATGCACTTGTGATGTCTCTGTGCTGTAGGTGATGAAACAGACTCCAAGAGGCTGAGCAACTCGCCCAAAGTCCCATAGTTAGTAGGCACAGAGCTGGGACGCAAATCCGGGCAGGCTGGCTCCAGAGCCACACTCTGCAGAGCTAGTGCAGCAGGGAGTGCCCTGTCACTTAGCTCAGCCTCGGATCTTCTCCACATGAAAGAAGCAGAACCCCATCAGGCTAGTTCTGAATCCACAGCCTGGTCTGCATTTAGCTGGGCCTGCATTGTCTCCTCCTGCCAGGCCAAAAGGTAGACTTTGCAGGCAAAGACAAGGCCATTGCTCCTACTGATAATCCTCAGAATGTGTGTAGGTAGATTACTCCACAGATTTCTGTGTGTCTGTACAATTACTTGCTGGTCTCTGATGACACAGGGCAGGGACTGAGGACCGGGGTGGACCTAATGAAGAATTCCAGAAGACTCAGCACTGTTAGGCAGTTCATTCAGTCACACCGCAGTCACACCACACACACACACTCCATGCCCTGTATCGCCTTCCTTTTCTTGGTGTGCTACTCTGTGCAGACACCCATTACTAGTTTCTTAGGATTTCCTCACCTTTGTGGGCTCAGGCACATCCATAGACACCCCCACACACAACTTTCTTTCCTGGTATGTAACAGCCCAGACTGGAGGGGCCCCCACTGACACATGGGGCTGTCTTTGTTCAACAGTGCTTGGAAGCACAAGTGAGCTCTGTATTACTGCCCTTTTGGCAGGGGTGGCTGGAGGGCCTGGAAGCTACTAGCTCCAGCCCTGCAGAGCCACGGTGACCAACCCAAAGCACCAGCCATCAGCTTTGTTCCTCAAGCCCCTGGAGAAAACCTTTGATTTCATGGGGATGATTATTTTTATTCTTGCCCACTCAAGGATAAAGCCCAAGAAACAAGAGGTTGCCCCTTTCAGAGGCATCACAATGGGTTACCTCCAGCCAAACCCACTGTTTTTTGTTTTTTGTTATTTCTGGGTTTGGTTGGGCCTCTCTTGGAAACCATTACTATACAACTTACTTAAAGAAAGAGTGGAGAGATTGGGTATAAGAGACTCAGACGGGGTTGGGGGGAAGGTGGGAGGGTCTGGGGCAGGGAGGCTGGAGGTAAAGTGTTCTCAGAGACAGTGCGGGAAGAACACATTAAAATCACAATCTGATTTGAATCAATTCCATTTTGTAGTGACATATTTAATCTTTTGCAAAGTCAAACTATTCCAAGTTTGACTTTTGGCCAAGCCAGGAGAATTGGGACTTTGGATGAAGGTTTCAGAAAAAGACACAAAACACACACACAGACACACACACACACACACACACACACACACACACACACACAGAAAAGGCAAAGGAGAGAAAGGGGAGGGAGACTTTTATCCTAAAGTCATTGTAAATCCAAAGCAGGGTTTTATCCTCCACAGTTAAATGAGAAAGAAAAAAAAATCAAGAATACCAACATTTGAGGTACAAAGACTGTCATGGCCCAGTGGAAGTTTGCAAAATTATATGTAAATGACCAAAGTTTTTACTGTGGTGGCCCTGTGCATTCCCAAAGCTAATCCCAAAGAGAAAATCTACTTAGCAAAAGCAAGTTTTGTCTAATTTGGTTAACAGTTGAGAAGTGACAAAAATGCTGAATATATTAATAATTTATATTTCCAGGGTAACACTATATCTTTAATGCTTCACTGCAGAAGGGAATTCAGATTGGCTTAATGCTCTTAGAAAGAAAAAAAAAAATCCTGAAAGGCCTTCTTCATATTCTGTACCCAGCACTGATGAAAATGAGTGTAAGACATGTGTTCTTATAATAGGCACCATCCTCTCTCCCATCTCTGCATAATTCGTTTTTATCCCATATTGCTCAACATATATTTGTTATCTGGGAAGCTGCTTGCTCCTAACTCACTTCTATGGTCCAACTCTATCAGTTCATAAAAAAAGGAGACATCTCAGATTTTATAGATAAGTAATTTCAAGAACCCCTTACATGCAAAAACCTTTTATAAAGTTTACAGATTTTCTTTCCCCAGAAATATACATATATAAATTTCACTTTATGGGCAATGTAATGAGAGTTTTTTTTTTTTTTTCCCTCCCTGTCTTTGTATAATGGAGTTTGATGGTTTACAAATTGCAGGTCATCCCATTCCATGACCTCGGTAAACAATCTGGGTCAGAGCTCTCTTAAACCCTGTCCAGAGAAATGAAATAAGTTAATTTACTGTCCTCCAGCTAATCTGGGAGAAGGCAAATCACCTAGTTCAGCTAAATGGCCTCTGGAATCAAAAAGGAAAACATGCCACATAATTTCAAATTATTTAAGGGGCATCGAAGTTAATGGAAACAAAAGTCCAAAGGAAAAAATCAATAGTGGAAAAAATTTAAATCCCCAGAAACACATGTTTAGCTTGTTGGATACCTTGTTTATTTTACCTGTTTACATAACACAATGGGCAGCCTCATTTTGCTGTTTGCTCTTAGAAAAATGTGATTTTTAGCTTGTTATTTTCAATGAATGTACCACTATTTTGTGGGTAAGGCACAGATGCACTGGAATCACAATCCCCTAAAAGATCACTAGCCAAGTCTCTTCTAGACTCCAAACTTTCCTCACCACATTCTGGATGGAGCCAGAAGATTTTAAAAAGTAAGTAAATAAATAAATCCCGCCTGGGGAAAGGGAGAGAAAGGAAGACTTTTCTCTCCCCAGGCCTGAGAGCTTGAACAGAGAACCCAGCATCTCGACCCAGGGCCAGTAAGGGGTGATGGAGTCGACGGGGAACAATGCCTGGGGGAGCGCGTCTCCCCACCCTGGCAGCCCAGCACCTCCGAAGCTAGGCTGATCCGTGCGCAAAAGGCAACGCCAGCTTCCCTGAACCCTCCGGCGCCAAGTAGTTGCCATCCTAAGATAGTCAGAAAACTTCCACCAATGTTGTTTCTAAGCCACATCCCAGAAACGTTATTTGCTGCTCATATTTTTTACAGGGGCGTGTTAAGGCTGTAAACTCAGCCACGCGTCCCGCGGGCCTGGGCTTCGCCCAGCTCCAGACTCCGGAGGGTGTGGCGCCCGCGCGCTCCGGGACACTCACTTGGGGGCAGGAAGAGCTCCCAGGTCCCAGCTGGCTACATTACGCTGAGGCCACTTTGGGGCGGTACTTGATTTGCATTTTCAGAGAGCCGCGGGTACTGTTCCTGGCCTCCCCTCTTTCCTAAGGCAAATGCCCAAGATGCCCTCAGAGCGGGTGCGATCTGCGCTCTGGGGGAGCCACGAATCCCGCCCCCAAGCGACGCCTGGAATATCTGCTTAAGCCTCCGTCGAGCCTTCCCTTCCCTCAGACTCCGCAGCCGCCTCCCCACCAAATTACCGAGGGCCGTCGCCTTGGCCCTTAGCCTCGCGCCCTTGGCACTTTGGAGGGCATGGGCCGTGGATAAGCAGAAGGTAACAAAGAAATCCATCTCTTGGGGGCTTTATTAGAAAACGTTTATTGCCAGGGGGAGATCCTTCAAAAGACTAACTCGCTCTTGGCCTTTCCACACCTAGTTTTTTGCGGTCACGGTATTTACACCTGTACAATATATACAATATTTTTCCTAAGCAGCGCCCAACGCGCAGAGAAATCTGGCGGGCGAGTGGGCATCAGAGCACCGGGGGGTGCTGAGGCGTGTGCAGGTTGAGGTTGTTGGGGTGCGCGTGGCCGATCAGGTTGAGGTAATGCCGGTCCAGGCCCTGCACGGGCGCCAGGAAGGGGCTGTGCTGCTGTGCGGGGCTCTGGAGCGGCACTGGCGCGCTGGGCAGGTAGGGCAGCGCCGGGCTGCGGGCCGCGCCGGGAGGCCAGGGGAAAGGCCCCGGGGCCGCGCCCTGCGGGAACACTGCGCCCTCGCCCGGGCTGTGGCCAGCGAACTCAGGCCCCGCCGGGTGCAGCTGATAGTTGAAATCGGGCTCCGGGAGCAAAGCCAGCGGCGGGAAGGCGGGCTCCGCGCCTAGGCGGGCCTTGGACTGCAAGAAGGCGAGGATGCGCGCGTACTTGGTGTCCTTGGTCTCCATCCGCTCCACGGTGGTGAGGTAATGCACCAGGTTCTTCATGCACTCGTGGTAGCCGTAGTGGAAGTAGTTGGCAAATTCTGCTAGGAGTTCTGCTGGAGGGGCGAGAAAGATTGTAGGAAGGAAAATCCCCGGAGCGCCCCCTCCCCACGGAGAGAGAGCCCGAGGAGGGCGCAGGGCACCTTCCATCATATGTTCTGGCCAAAGTTTCCGTTTAAGGCCCGCCTTCTCCTCTCGGCAGTCTAGAGACTGGCAAAGCTCGAGCAAACAACCCCTTTACCGTGACAGCCTGACCCCACCCACCCCGCCTGAGACCAGGCGACACAACCAGAAGCCCTAGAAACCCGTCAGCACCGCCGCTTCGCCGTCGCGCAGACAGCAGAGGCGCTTTTGCAGGCCCTGGCCTCCTCCCCTGCAGCTTCCTGCGCGGAGACCTCTAGTAGGCCTCTGCCGAACGCCGCGTCCTCCCCTCGTTGGCCCCCAGGCTCAGGGCGGCGCACGCAGGGAGCGCTGGTCTCCCTCCCCCTAACCCGTGCCCACCTTTTTCCCTTCCCCGGGGAAAGTCAGCCGAGTGCAGGGCTCTCAGGTACTGGACGGTCATCTCAAGGATCTCCGCCTTCTCCAGCTTCCCGGAACTCTGCAAAAGGAGGAAAGGCTCCTCGCAGCGGCCCAGCGGGCTCGGGCCAACGCCCCGGGCGCCGTATACCTGGAGAGCGAGCGCCAGCCAGCAGGGCGCCGCTGCGATCTGCCCGAGAGCCGCTCCGAGCTTGCTCGGCGCTCAGGCCCCAGGGGGAGGGAGGCCCTCAGTAAGGCCCTCGGTGTCCACAGATTCCGGCGTCTCCGCCGAGAGTGGCAGCCGAGGGTCCCCAGCGCCTGGCACCCGGCTCCAGGCTGCCGACGTTACCTGCTTCGCCAGGGCCATGGGCACCGTCTTGCCCAGCTCGTTCAAGCAGCGATTGATCCGGTCCCTCCTCCGCTTTTCTATCACTTTATGAGAAACGGGGGTTCTCTGCGAACAGAGGTTTGTGCTTTTAGGATGGCTGTGCCCGGGGAGTCGTCAGAGGCACGTCTGTAGTAGCCGTGTGCTGTCTTCCCCAGACGCTCACGCCGCTCAGAGGTCAGCCCCGGGAAGGGACCCCTGCCCCACACACTCGGGCCAGTTGAACTCGGCCCCTCACGCCCGCGCTGGCGTGCTGCCCTTCCAGCACCCTACCGGCTTGGGCCGCTCCTCCTAGCTGAGCGCCAGGGCTTTGGGGAGGTGGCCACCAGCCTCCGGGCGTGGGCTTCTCCCCGGTCGAGGACTCTCCTCTGTCTCTTCCCATCCCCTTCCCAAACCACTCGGGATTCCTTTACACGCAAAGTCCCGTGTGGCCACGTCCCTGCCGTCCGTCCAGCCAAACGACTGGTCGGTGAGTCAGACTCCTCTATCACCAGGGCGCAAGCGCCACTTGGGCTCAGCCGACTCACTTTGCGTTCCTTGAGCTTGTCTGACATCCTGGTCAGTACGCGCCCTCGGGAGAGGCGGTGGCGCGAGGCACCCGTCCACTTTCAGCCTCGTGTGCCTCCTCGAGTGTCCCAGGTAGACTGCAGCCTCCCAACTCGAGGGGCTGCCTTATAAAGCGGTCATCTAGGGCTCCAAGTGCATTCACGAGTTGAATTATTCCATAGGATTAGGGGAGCTGCGTTTGGAGGATGTATGCATTCAAGATCAGTTTTAAAGAAGTTAAGAAAAAAAATTTAGCTGCCGAGGGGGGCGAGCTGGGGGCAGATCAGCTTTGTTAATCCACGTGGCCCTTCAAAGGACACGTGATCGGCCGGGGAATAACATTTGCATGGCAACAGCCGGGGCGGGAAAGGCAGGCGGTCAACTGCGGCCGGCGGGCGAGAGAGCGCCTGCAGCAGTCGCGGGCGCGGCGCGCAGGGGCGCAGCGGCCACGGGCACCGGGGGGCGAGGACCCTCACAAAACAATGTCGCCTCCTTTAGTCCCACCGCTGAGTCTCACACGATCGCCTGTTTACAAATCCCAGCAAGCCCGCCGTCCCAGCGCCGAGTGCGTTTTAAAGCCTGTCCAGAGTCATTAAAGTAATTAAGTAAGCCTTTAATAGGCTGTTCCGCCGGGTTCAAGGGAGAGCTCTTGGAGACGGAGGCGCCCCGTTTGTTCCCAGGCTTTTCTCACACGACTTGGTGACACGTCCTTCTCCCCCCTTTTTGTTTACACCGCTTTATTTGTCCGGACATCCCGGCAGGTGTGGGGCTGTGGCTGGCACACGAAGCTCACGCCTCGCCTCGCCCCTCCCGCCGGTCTTTGGCACGCGACGCCCCCCCTGCCCCCTGCCCACGTCGCTGGCTTTCTTTTCTCCCCCCTCCGGCTCTGTCTTCGCGGGGGGAAGAGGCTCAATTTGTAGCCTATTATCCCATGCGAAAATGTCCATTGAAAAGTATGAATAGTTTCATTGGGCTAAATTTTAATAATGCCAGAGGGTGGGGGAGGAGAGACAGGCGGGCGGGTGTGTGGGGGGGGAGGATTGGGGGGCAACACGGAGGAGAGTGGGCCGAGAAGAAAAGGGGGAATGCAGCTGGCCCAGGCGAGCATTATGCGACGTCACCTGCGAGAGGGGGCGCCTACAGACCCCTATTCATTTGCCTAATTTTGGTCAATTTAACAAACTTCAGGAGAAATTATTGTGGCTTTGTCAGGGAGGGTGAAGCCTTCTGATCGAATTAACAGCATGTTTTGATCCGGTAAATGTCATTAGAAAGGGAGAAACAATCGCGCTTAGAGGGCTCTGAGTAATGCGCCCAAGTGGAGACGCCAAAGCGCACGGCTCACAAAGGGAGCAAGTAGCTGCCACAGGGAACTTTTGTACCCGCCCATCGCCCAAGTTTTGACACAAAAAGGCATTATTTCATACTTGAATACGTTGAATCCAACGATTGTCTATTTTCTGCAAACATATTTTCACAGCATTGTTAACTTTTTATGTCCTTCTTTCGCGGGCGCCTTTTCTCAACGTTTGGGGGCGGGAGAGCGCAGACACTTTGGGCATCAATATTTGTCACTGAAAAGGGCCCCGTGAAGTTAGGGAAGTTGATCTCTTTTTTATGGTTTTAGAAAGCGAAAATATCGGGGGAGGAGGAGGGAGGGACGGCACGAACAGAAACGAGGGAGGAAATTTGCTGGACGGGCCCAAGGAGGAGGAGGGGGGCTGCGGCGGCTGGGAGCTCTCTTGGCCGCCTGCGCCTCTGCGGGCAGCCGGGCCCCGCGCCCGAGGCCTCCTCCCCCACCCGCAGGCCCCGCTCACGTTTGCTGCTTTGGAGCCCACATTCTGGGGGCTCCCGGCTTGCGGGGTGTGGGTGGCGGCGTGAGCTTTCTTGAAGATGGAAACGATAAAAATGGTTTTTGTTTTATGGCCCAATCTAGAGTCACCGAACTCTCACCTTTTTCTAATCTTTTCCGTCTGGGAACAGCTGAGACCTCTCCTTAGATATCTTTCCCTTCTTTTCTGCCCCCCACCTCCCGCTAAATTCTCTCTACTCTGCCGGACGATGGCAGGGCCTGGGCTCTCCCTGTGGGCTGTTGTTGGTCCTTGGCAGAGGTGGGTAGGGCAGAGCCCCGCTCGCTGGTGGGACCTAGGGAGCTCTAGGGCGCAGAGCCAGGCCTGGGGTGCGGGGCCTCAGGGACGCCAGCCGCCCACCTGCCGTGGCCTGGGAGGTGTGGGGGCTCGGTCTGCACCACGCACCCCTGGGGCGTCCCTCTCCGTCTTGCTTCCAGACTCCTCACGACGACTTTTCTTTTCCACTTCACGCCAGATTGGACAGGACCCGCACCCTCCTGCGGGTTGCTCTGCCAGCCGTGGGTGCCCTCTCAGGGGTTGTCGATTTCAGTATATTCACTCGCATACAATGGGATTAAACACGAACCCTTATCATCCAAATTAACTAACGTGAATGGGTGAAAGGGAGAGCGCACACTTCACACCCCCACCCCCATTTTTAAGCCAGCGGGCTAAGAGTTGATCCTCTTACTGCCGGTGTTAACTGCCAGCTGCAGGCACCTTCCACAGGACAAACTTCATTCCATGCAAACTGTTTAATTCCCCGGGTTTGATCGCGGTGCCGGGCTCAAGGCTTGCCCAGGGCTAAAAGTGCCCAAATGAGGGTTGGGGGCGCAAGTGCAGTTGGGTGAGTTGTGCTGCCAGGTGCGCATCCTTGCCTGGTCCTTTGCGGCTGAAGCACCACCTGGGACACTGGGAACGTCTCTTCTGTTTCAGGTTTGGGAAATGAAGGGTTTCATTTCTCCCTTCCCAGCCCGAAGGCCCTGAATTTCACTGCCTGATAGTGGGGTGCCCCACAGCTGTCTTTCCCTGACTCCTTCTCCTCGGGGTGATGATCAAGTGTTCCCTGAACTTGACTTAGTTTCCACGAAAAATAAGAGCAGAGTAGTGAAGAGCAGTAGTCACTGGAGCCAGCCAGCCGGTTTAAGTTCCAGCTGCATCGCCTACCAACCTGGCAAGACTTTGGGCAAGTTACCAAATCTACCGTGCCTCAGTTTTCTCATCTGTAAAATGGAAGTAATAATGTGTCTACTATGTTACCTGGTGTTCACATGAGTAAAATAAGTAAATATAGACAAAGGCACCGAAGAGAAAGCTTGACCACTCAATTAGTTATTTTATTTTGCCTGCAAATCTCTCTTGCGACGGCTCTCATATGTTTTAGCAGGGTGTTGTGGAGTTTGTCTCGTAATAGGATTTTTTTAACTAGTTTCACATTTTTTCTCACCCATGAGAAAACTTTACCCTCGCTGAAAAAGCCAAAGTAATTTCTCCTGAAGTTTGTTAAACTGACCAAATTAGGCAAATGAATGGGGGCCTTCGGGTGCCCCCTCTCACAGGTGACATCACTTGGCGCTCGCCGGCCAGCTGCGTTCTGCCAGCGTGCGTGAGGCTGAAAGGGCCCAAGGCAGAGAAGCTCCTCCACATCACAGCATTCTCGAGTGACCAAACGTTATCATCAAAATCAAAACCTAGCCAGGAGGTAAGACTGCTTTGAAATTAGACAGTGCTAATTAAGTGTTACCCTGCGTGTAGCCTCCTGACATCTAAGGGCTTCTGTTGTAGAATACAGCAGTCACAAGCTAAATACGTTTGTTATTGTTACTTCTACTGCTATTTCTTTAGCTCCATGGTTTTGACATGTAGCTTCCAAACACCGAAAGATGGTTTCTTGCATATTTCTTTCCAATTTTTAGAAACTGAGGATTTGTGGGGTTTGGGAGGGGGAGAAGGGAACATGAGTGCAAAGAAAAGAATACAGTAATTTCAGCCCAGTTGCTCTAGGACAAAGGTTCTGGATGACCTCAAATCCCTCCCTGCTCTGCCCCCGCCGCCAGTACACAGAGCAGGTGTCCTGGACCCATGGGCAGCACTGGGACCTCAACCAAGTGAGGACACCTGAGGAGTCTCGTCAGACTGTGGCTGGCCCTGCAGGACTTCTCAAGCCCAGGAAGACGAGGCCTGAAGGGAACCACACGCCTGGGCCCCACTGCGAAGTGAGTAGGATCCCAGGCTGCTCCCTCTGAAAGGACCCCGAGAGCACTGACGCCAACACCCCACTTCCTGGTGGAGGAACCCCAGGAGCCACGAGGAGCCTGGGACTCCCCGTGGCACGCAGCCAGCCGCTGCACAAAGCCTCTCACCAAGTGTTTGTTGACTCCTTGCGTGACCTCCAGCGCCCGTGGCCTCGCTTACCGCTCTGTTGCTGTGAAGGAAGGTCCAGTCAGACCCCTGAGGTTTAGGACGGGCAAACGTTCTATGGGTCACCTGTGGTCCTTGGCATGTGTGGTGATTGCCAAGAGGCATCAGCTGTGTCCTTGTGCCCCCTTTCCCCTGCTCTTCCCGTCCCCGGGTCCAGTGATGACAGCGTGTTGTGAGCACCCACAGTGACCAGCACTGGCAATACCAAGCAGAAAGGGACACAGCCCTGCCTTCCACAGACTTGTCCTCTAAGAAAGAAGAAAACATCTGTACTGATGGCCCCAGTGCAGTATTCTCAACACGACAGTCACTCTCAGTGCCCGTGCTAGCAGCTGTGGGTGGCACTGCGATCCTGTTGGGTTGGCAACTTCTCTGGACTTCTCCTTGCTCGGCACGCCGATTCCTCGGCTCCCTCTGGTCACCAATAGTGTTCTCAACCCGGCAATGACATCGACAGGAAGCATTTACCGGGAGATGCTTGTCAGTGCAGTCAGGTGACCGTGAGAGAGGGTCTGGGGATAAACTGCAAACTCTCCAGCCATGAAGACACACACTGAAGGTGAACCTCAAACCTGAAGGAAACCCAGGATATGGGAGACCTGTATCCATGGTAAGGTGATTTCCCCAGGGCTTTCATTCCTATCCCCTTTGTTCTGCTCTGCGAAGCAGCTTAGTTCTTTGCTATCTAGCTCTATCGTTAGGGTTAGTACCTGACAGTTTTTGCTCAGCGAGGTAGCAGCACTGAAACCACAGTCGTCCATCGGCACTACAACTGTGCAATGATCCAGCTGCTTTCAGTTTCTCTACCCTTACGGGGGAGGCTT